CACCTTCTGTTCCCAGTTCTCTCAGCAGGATTAGCTGGGAACACATTAGCTGTCATATCTGACTGCAATGTCATATTTGGTGGGGTATTATTCAATCAAATACAAAGTGCAAGTTAAAATAATCTAACAAGTGACAGAACACCTTTATAAAGATTGAGCTATGTATTTTGCAAAATTCTTATTCTATCTGTAGACCTGCAGAAATGGAAGAAACTCAGTTGTTGCATTGCAACTCTCACTAGCAGTATTCCTGAAATATATTTTTCCATGGTTTTTGTTCCACATTTTTGGGGGGTTTTGTCCATTACTTAGGTTGGGATTTGTTTGTTTATTTAGGTTATTTTAATAACCAAGATCTGGGTAGAAACGACCAGCTTTTTGCTCTCTCACTGAAGAACATTGGGTTGTTTTCCCAGGATTTTTGTCTCACTTCCGCTATTTCTCTCCCACAGTTGCTCTCTAAAGGGTCCTTTAATTACAATTAAGAAAACCTTTCATTGAGACAATACTTTGTTCTCCAACCCTATTAGGATATATGAGTTTTCCCTATATGCCTTGTCTTGCAGATAAAAGCCATTTTGCCTGAGCATGTCTAGAGTGGCAGAGACATTTTTTCTCCCAAAAAAACCCCCTTTGTTGCAGGGTAGGTTTCTGTTTCCTCAAAACTCCTGACTTTGAAGTCTGCTCCTCTCAAACATGGAGTTGGAAAGTCTGGGAGCTCTTGGCCCTAATGGGGCTCTCGGGACTCCCAGACTCCCCCCTGTCTGGGCAGAATTTGGACTGCTGGGTCATGCAGGAGGTCCCTGGGCTGGGTGGCCATGGGTGGGGCTGGAAACCCTCTGGCCACCATGGGGCCACTGCCTGAACACACAAGGGTTTGGTTTGGGTGGRTATTGAAAGATGAGCTGCTAGCTCAGGGAGAGAGATCCTTTCTCTTTGCTTGCTCTTAAGGCACAAAGTTTCCAYACATTTAGAGGTGATTTGCCGCTGTAATAAATCTTCCTGAATTGTATTAGGCATTTATTCTTGGAACAGTCTCATTTCATGAATCATATATATAGCCATAACATAAAWTCCCAGTTAGGTACTRGATAAAAACAGAATGAGGAGTTCAGCATTTTCCTTGTTTTCCAATGTTTTCTGCATTCAGATTTTTGCATTAACTCATGTAACTTCTGCTAAGCAGTATTTATTCAGAACGGAACAAGAGTAAACGTATGCACTTAATTTTTCACAAGAAACCGATTGATACTTGTGTAAATTTAAATATATATTTGAAAATCTATAGCATGGATATTAATAATATTTCTTCTGTTCTAACATTCCAATTCCATGCATAARAGAGTACTGGGTTGAGAGTCTGGATTTTCACCAGCACTTGACATTGATTCTATGTGTAAAACTGGACTAATTACAGTGATAAATGGATAAAGATTACAGATACAGAAGTAYTTATACATGTCTAATTGTGTAATGTGGGTTTAATCTAGTTTCATTAAAATCTTATTAATATGCAAATCCTGCATTAAGACATTTGTAGTTTCCAACAAATGTAGGATGTTAACAGGTATAACAATCTTTCTTTGCTAGCACTGCAGTATGTTAAGAGCTTATTTCCATTATGATCACTGCAATGCTGAAAAGAACAAAGTATTAGAAATTAATCACTATAATTATGTGGTCAATGCATTACCTATTTAAATTCATGTTTGGAAGCTACCTTGCTGCAAAACTCCTACAGGAAATCCTAATTCACATTTTTTCATTTCATGATCAGAGGTAAAATAAAGCTGTTTCACTGAAAATTGTTGGAAAGCTTTCCAGGGGAAAAGACAATGCCAGGTTCATCCTCCCTGAGAAAGATCATCACGTATCTTTTTGGTGAATTATTTCACCCACACTCAAATATGTACTAAAGTTGTAAAACTCATGACAAAATGTTTAAAGATTATTGCAAAAAGAGAGTGTTTTGATTGGATTGCTTTTGGCAGTGGTTTCCAAGCTTCCATGTTTGAGCACAGGCCAGTGCAGACCCATCTGGCCCAGATTGTGCAGAGTGCCTTGCAGAGATTGACTCTGTGAGAACTTGGTCAGGAGCTGCACAATGTGATCTCTGCCCAGATCCAACTTATGCAATCAAAGCATAATACAGATTCCTTCTTCCCCAGGCACTCAGATTTGCATCTCAAATAAATTCCAGGAGGAAGTGAGTCCTGGGGCACATCTCTGACACCTTGAAATGACTGAGGATGAAATCCTGGGGCTGTAGGCTCAGCTGATCTCWGATGCCTTCACTGGCTGTGACTTTAGGGCTTAACAGTTTTCCTTCAGTTCTCCCAAATTTCTTTGTCACTTCTCTCAGTTGCAGAGTRTGTTCTTCACCGTGCATGGCCCTTGGCAGCACTCACATGCCCTCCTCTYCATCCTGGTAAGGCTGTGCTGGGACACAGCCAGGGTGTGCTGTCCCARACACAGAGCAGCAGAAGCAGTGACCTGGCTTCATTCTGTTTCTCATGTTCCCAGACCAGACCTGTCTTTCACATAACCCATGCACCATCCATGCACCACTTTCCAGGCTCCTTGGTTCCCTCATGACTCTTTTGAGACATTCCTCTACAAAAGCTGACTTTTTCTCTTTTGTGATGCTGTGGAGATGCTTCTCTGAATTATGAGAATGTTGGAGGTCTGTCTGTGCCACCCTTGCCATTCCTCCACAGAATTTTCAAAAGTTAGTAGTAATTGATACATTTTTAGACATTAAATTGGGATTTGGAGGAGCCTTTTCCAAGATAGTGCAGATGCATCTTTATTTCTATAACCCTTATGCTTTCTGATAGGTTTCTGTCCTTTCGTACTTTTTTTTTGCCTCTGGCTTTTTTTCCTCTCCTGTACAATGTGTATTTTTCCAAATGCTGTTTTTCCAAATGCTGTTTCCAATAGCATGTTTTATTATACTGACAAGAACAGCAACACCTCTGTAGATTGTCCTAAAGCAAAGGCATGACAGAATAAATGAGCACAAATAAGTCATCTTATATGACTTTTGTGTTTCTAGTCCTTCAGTTCCTTTCTCCAAGGGGCAAGTGTCCTGCCAAACTTCTGCCTCACATGACACTGGAGACCCAAACCAGATGCTGTCAGAAAAAGTGTGACTGCTGCCATTTGAACCCACATCCCAAGGGTGTGATAAATGGCCACTGGAAACCATCAAGAATTGATAGAACCCATGTTGCTTGAATTTTGTTGTTATGCACGTTCAGCTCCTTATTCTACCCGTTCAAATTGCTGCTGGGAGAGGTTATTTATTTTATCTACAGAATTCTGATAATGCATATGTCTTGTAGAAAGACACAAAGCTGCAGTTTGGATGGTTTAAACTCTCCATATYTCCAGTTTCCTATGCACAAAGTAACAGTAAATAAATTTATTTGCTCTCTACTTCCTTGGTGTAATTTATACTGGTAGTCTTTGGCTCAGAAAGCCCAGTTGAAGGCTTTGCTACCATCTTAGATATGTTCTCACAAAAAGTCACACTAGCTSATGATGGAGAATAGCTGCATCATCTTGCCTTTCTTTTATGCACATATTCATGGTTTCTGCATCTGGAGGATCTGGAATGGAAGGATGTCTGACAACACGTGTCATCTGCACATCATGCAATGTGTTTTCAAGTGCCTACCTCACTGCTCACAGGAGCTTCTGGTGCCTGTGTTTAAGATCAGGGCCGAGGAGCACAAAAAGCTGCATGAGGATGCATCCCTATAATGCACTAAGTGCAAGAAATTAGTACATAGATCAAGGAAAGATGTGCAAGGATAAGACCCAGTGGATGGATAAGTCCTTGGTGGTGTTTTCTTATTAGTTTATATATATTTTGGAAGTCAGTATTTCTAYAGAGGTTTTTGAAAGTAAATGTATCTATAAATGTGCTTTTTGTTGTTTATACTCACTTGTTAAAATGCTTAGAACAGAGGAAGGACTTACCTAGGCTTGCATAATATGTGTGAATTTGGATCTTGTATACAAAGCTGAATGGTGATAATCCATTTAGAACAGATAATCCAGCACATGAGGACTCACAGGTGGAAACTGGTAGTAAGAGAATACTGATTTTAGTAGTTTTACAGTTCTTCAAACTGTAATGAAATCTGCAAGCAGATACGTGTCTAATGTGTAAAACTAACTGAATTATGTAGCTGATCAACAAATAAAATCCATGTTTTATTCTCTAAAAATAGAAATATTTCTATTGAAATATCCAACTGAAGGAATGAAGAAAGCTAAAGATCATAAATTGATACTTTCAGCAACCAGACAGCTGCTTCCTGGGGGTACTGTCAGGCCAGCCAATGTTGCACAAAAGAGTCCACTGCCTAAATGGAAGGAAACATGAGTGACAAATGTGGTATTTAACTGAACTTGTTATTAGAGAGGTCAGAGTCCTTGGGTGGTGGGAGAAATAGACCTTGCCAGGAGTGCTGGCAGTATCTGGTGAGGGGATGTATTAAATAATCATCAATGACAAGTATACCCATAGGGAAGTAAATGTTTTGTCTTCTTTTATTGCTGAAATAAAGTGGGTAATAATTATAAAAAAAAAAAAAAAAATAGGAGTTAGTCTCTTTGGAGCCATCTTTCCAACTGTTAAGGTCTTATAGAATTTTGGAGTATCTTTAATTTTCAGAATTTCAAGAATTTTAGTAGAAACAATCATTCTTATTTTTAATAAGCTCGTCACGTGGTACTCTGGGAGCTGTTGTGTGGATTCGCTGCTCTGTTACCTGCTTGCCATCCCTGAAAAGAATCTCAAACAGCAGATGTGAAAGGAAGGAGTGTCACTCCTCTAAAAYACGATTTTGACAAATTTCACTGTCTCAGAAGGCCCTGCAGAGAGCTGCAAAGCAGAGCTAATCAGGGAGGAGTGCATCATGAGGCTTGTTCATCTCATCTGATGGGAGGGGGAGTTTACTAAAACCACTGTCTTGTTGGATCTGTTTCAGGTGGGATTCCATTTGTCCTCACTGGAGAGTTTTTCCAGCAGTCTCAGAGGCCAGCTGCCTTCATGATCGCTGGGACAGTCAATTGGCTCTCCAACTTCGCAGTCGGACTGCTCTTCCCYTTCATCCAGGTACCAAATCCCTTCAGAACTCATGTGCTGTGATATTGTTGGTACAGTGGGACGTGTAAGGTTTGAGAAGAGATTTCAGGTGATAATAAACACCCTGTTATTGAAGTGGATGACATTTCCACCGTGTTTGTGACACAAATCAGCTATGATACCCACATGTCTGCTTGCTGGAATGTGTTGGAAAAAATTGCCCTGCAACAGGAAAAATACTGTAACGATGAACAGCCCTCTATGGCAAATTTCCCATGACAGTTTTTGCTGTGCAGTCTGATGATTTTGTCTGGGTTCACAGCCACTGATGTGATCATTGTTGCCCTTTTCTTCAGCCATCTTCTGGTTTTCGCCATGCTTTGAGAATTCATGTTACTCTCATGGGGGAAGAGATGCTCTCTGCATCTTCCTCCATAAGCTTGGTTTTATGACTCWTTTTTTTTCAACTTCTTCTGTCAGGCTTTTTTCTTCTTTAGCTGGTTCCTTCTTGCTGCAGTTTAATTGCTACATGGATTAATCTGTTCTTGTCCCAGCTTCCCCAGGCTCCCATAAGCTTCATTTTTTGTAGATTGTTTGGCTGCACTAGTCACATGGAGGACAGTTTGATCAAGAGCGGTCTGATGCCTGGGATTTGTATTTTGACAAGTTTATTTAAAAAAAAATAATAAAAAGAAAATTCAAAATTCAACACAGAACAACATTCTCTTGCTCTAATTCCTAAGAACATTYCAACACAATTGATGCGTTTTTGTATGGCAAAAAGTCTTCAACCAGCTTCTAATTAATAAAAATGCTGRGGTTCTTTCCTTGTTCATGACCTCTCCCAGGGATGGTCTGCACTCTCTGGAACTCACATTGAAGCTGATTCTTTATCTCAGGAGCTGATCAGCTCAAACACAGCTGATCAATCCCCTGCCTGACCATGTCCAAACTCTTAAAAGAACAATCTTGCTCCAATGATAACAAAGAGTGAAGCTCCAAACTGCAGGGCAAAAGAAAGAAGTCCTCAGTTTTGGTTCTTTTAAATGCACAGAGGAAAATAATAGGGGAAGAGGAAAGGTATAGGGAGAGCAAATCTTCCAGGCTTGTAGGTCCTACACCCAGGAAAGAGATTTTGGATTGGTCTTCAGATCATCTCTGAGGAAGAGATTTGATTAACAAGAGCTGTTCGTGCCTTCTTTCAAGTGAAAATTATTTAATTCTGCAAATATCATATGCCTAACAGTATTTCCAGTACAGTAAAATTATCATACTCTATGACTTTATATACTGCTTTTTCATTTTACAAGTATAACTGCTTTTACTATGTAGTAGTGTTTTAAATTATCTGTGTGAGGTAATTTATGGGAGAACTTCAAAGCTTTATAAAGTCTGACCTGTGATCTAAGTTTGRCACAATTTAAAATTTCTTCTAGCAGGAAAAAGTCTCTAGTAGTTTTGATTACTTGGATCACCTTCAAAAGTCAGCATGATTATAAAGTCTGTGATCTTTCCAAACTCTGCACACCTACTAACACTAACTGCAATTAAAKTTATGTCTTAAGAGCTGCTATGTCTTAAGAGCTTCTTTTCATATTCATCATCTTAAGCTTCAGCTTATTGGAATTGATGAGAGTTTTTCACAGTTTCATGGTGAAGGCTTTTCCATCTTAGACATTCTCAGGAGAGATTTTCAAAGGGAGATAGAGACGTGATTCCTTTTCCACCGAGGTTGTTAAAACATCTACCAAATGATAGAAATTGGACAATTCCCTTGTGCTTTTGAACCCTAACCTGGTCCAGGGGCAGCCTTAACTCATCCAGTAAATGGATCCTTCTGTGTGGTTTCATAGTTTTTTCCTCCAGAGGATGGGGAGTGACTGTTTTAAGTAGCATTAGACCATCCCTTCCAACSCCACTGGCCAGGCACTTCCATCACCTGCCTCCATGGCAGCTGGGCAGGGACAGAGAACAAGATCTCAAATCTAGGGGTGTTTAATCAGAATATTTTTATTTGTTTTTTTAAATTATCCAGAGACATTTAGAGAATAATCCCATTTCTCAAAAACTGCAGTTTCTGCCTCCTGCACAAACCTGGGGATCACCCTGACCTCTGGTCAGCTGTCACATCTGAATTTATGCAACTCAGGACACTCCCTACTTTTCCTGCTAATGCTACCTGACACATCACCTGGTGAAATCTGTTTTAAAATATCCTCAGTAAATTCAAATTAAAAGGCAAACTCTCTATTTTATTATGTGCATATTAGAGTTTTTTGAGTGATTTTGCATGCATCCATATGAAGTTGGCTGTAGCCTTGGGGAATTTATTATTATGCATCATAAAAATATCCTGTTGTGTGATTACAAAATTAGCCAGTTTAGTTTTAATGAAGGTAAATTAAATTTCTAGCTTGAAGGTGGTTTTGCTTTCTTTTCTACTTTTAAAAAAAGAGAAATAAAAAAGAGAAAAAGCTTAGAGTTTGCACCTAAAGATGAAAGCAGTGTTACTCAGACTTTGATTTTTCAAGCTTTTTCACAAGATCAAACTAGAACATCTCCTCTTTCCCAAGTTTTAACTTTTTTCCTATTTCAGTCAACCTTATTTTCAAAATTTAGTTGATGAGTCACCTTCTTCTTTGCGGAAAGGCAATATCCTGTTCTTAGTTCATTTTATAAATCTATACCAGGAAAAAAAATCTTTAAAATACCTGCACAGGATGCATGCATAATCCTGTCTATGTATTTAAATACTAACCTGATTGCTTGAGAAACAGCAGCCACTTTTTTTGATCCTTGGTGTTCTTCTACAAAATTATCCCAAACATTTGGGAAACAAATCTGGTAACTTCAGAGTTACTAAAAAAATCAGCTAGTAGTCAGTTTTCCAAATGTCACCAATTAGTTAATTTGAATGACTAGATTTTTGCCCTTCAACCATCTGTAGATAAATATAATCAAAGGATGGCTTGAGTCATACATTAAAATGAATGGATGAGATTGAAAAGTTAGTACACAAATCAATTTTTCACAAATTAAAAAACAAAACAAAACAAAACAAAACAAATTGAATGTGGCTTTTCTTCCAGGCCTCAGCCCCTATTTGAGGTGCTGAAATATGAACAGAGGCACAGTAAATCAGTAGAAATCAGGGACTAGAATGTATATATATGTGGCAATGGATGCAATGAGCTGAAGCAGGCACAGGGAGCARCAAACCAGCAGAAAAGTGGAATCTAAAGGGCTGGAAAACTTCTGGTGCAGTAGAATAGGCTTGTGTTAAGTTAATACCCTTCATTAGCCCTACATTTGTGGGGACAGACTTCAGTTATCCAATGGTGTAGCAGGACTTTAAATTATATGTTATATAGAAAAAGTTTCTGTTTGCTCTTTGTAATGCATTGTGTAAATACAGAGAATTACTAAACATTAATAATTCTCAAATAATTTCACAACATGTTACTTTCATTATATGCTGACGCATTTTTATTTCATATTTCAGGTTGTTCCATTAGATTGCTATGAGGCACTTAAAGACTCTGGTAAATTAGTATTGTACAGTAGGACAACATAGCAGATTTCTCCAGAAATTTTCTGTCRTAACAGTTTATCTTTCTAGAAGACTGTGCAGAGCCTTTTTTTAATGTCAGTCACACTCTATATTCAGTACATATGAGGCAATATTTAAATTCCTATGTATTTTAWTTTTTATTTTTAATTTTCAAGAGCAGCTCATGTTCAAACTTTCCTCCTAATACCAATGTTTCCAGATACTGGGGAATACAGAGGAATACCCAGTTATAATTACAGGACTGCTATATGGAAAAAYGATCTTTCTCTTAGCTGGGGTTTGACCAAAATAATCTGCTTGGATCTGTAATCCAGATGGAGCTCRGTATCCTATGGGATAAAGGTGATACAAGCCTTGTAGTCTTAGTTCAGATTGCTTGCTAGTACAAGGGAAAGACCTGGATGTGTGTTTATTTTCCTCCTTTTAGAAACTGATTTATTTGTGCCTGAGAAGGAATGCTTCTGAGTCATTACATTATAACCCTTTCTGGAAGGTCTCTTGTAYTTCTGCTCTGTTTCTTCCTTATTTTTACATTTGAGATTTTCTTTCTCATGTCTCAAGATTCATTTACTCAGCAGGATTGTCTTTTGGTTGTCCTTATTYTTTCCTTACTGTCTAATAGTACCCGTTGACTTTTTCTATTACTCAGCACAAGGATTTCAATAACATAGGTGTGCACAGAAAGTTATTCACAGTTTGCCTCTGTCAAGCTATTTTAAGCTTTTTCAAATACATTGTTTCATTATATGACAGTGCCCCTGTATTAAAGGAAATGGCTAAAGTTCCCCTCAAAGATGAGAAAATGAAATGTAGGCCACTAGAAGGTTAGATGTGCTTATCTTAATTTGAAGCAAGCCACTTCAGGTATATGGATATAATACAAGGATCTGTTAAGTTTTTAGGAGGTGATAGTGAGTATGGTGAGGGTCAGGGTTGAAATTGCAGTTCATGTCTAAAAATGTCTCTATTTTTTACTTAGGAATTATGTTTCATACATTATATTTTAGTGCTCTGTCCTTCTTCATTGTCCTGCACTTTCAGCAGAACCTTAAATTGTGTCTGGAACAGAAGAAGGACAAAGGGTAAAGGACACAAGCTCTCATTCATTTGTTTCACTGTGTTATATCAATTTCAGGGAAAGTGARGCCAAATGTCTACATGAATAACAGTTTTTCTGCTGATCAATTTTGTGAGACATCGAACCATTATCATTTGACCTCACCCTTTCAAATACCAGGTTGATCCCCATCTCATTACTCCAATCTTCATGGCAACTTCCAAATGCAAGGACCCATTGGTAGTGTCAAGGGTTGTGACTTTGCAAGTTGAGAATTTATTGCATTTGCTGGAAAGACCCAGAAGTTGTGTTTTAAAAAAAAATGTGTTACGTTTGTTAAATTGATTCAGAGTTTGTTAATTTCCTCATTTATTTTGCTGTGCTTGCCCTAGAATATTTATT